ATTACTCATACAATATGGCCTTAGTGATCGAGTTAACACACTTCTCAATAGTGACCTGTACATGGCACATGGCCTCACCTGATGACGAATCAACTGCCCCGGTTACGTTTGGCATGCTGGATTGCCCACTCTGATCGAATCCCGTAGAGCCTGGCTCCTGGCCTTCGTGTCCTTGGACTGCTGTAGCTGAGCCTTTAGATCGTGTCACGTTTGATGCTGCGGCTCCAGAGGAGATTCTTGTTGACTTTTTACCTTTTTTTTCAGCTTCCGGTGACCGCGTCGGTCGGCCACGTCCTCCCACTCCTCCGGGCCTCGAGGTTGCGCCGTCTGCACCGCCGGACACCATCTCGACAGATCCAAGCAGCTCAGTCTGCCGTAGTTGGCACTCTGAAGAGAGCTGAAATGGAAGCATATTATGTGAGACCGGTGCCGGCAAGTTTAGAATGCAGACGAAACGGCATAAATGAGAAAATATGTTTCATCCTTAAGTAGGTTTTCGAGATAACCAGTCCCCGTAACACATTAAATGAAATATGATGAATACATTTCATATATATAAACTAGGACTCCCACTAGAAGACACCATCTATCCTGAATTTATTGCATCCGCTTGTATTGAAGCAGGGGGAATCTTCTCTTAAATAGGACAAAAGTCAGATCACTTGCAAGTTTGATCAGTTGGGCCCACCACAAATGGGTCTAGCCTAATGATCTGACTGATGATTCCACTAAGAGGCAGTCAAAAATGGGCTCTCCCTACCTCTTTTTCAATGGCATACAGTTTCAGCAGGGAGTCTGCGTTTACCTCAACGACTTGGATGTCGTTAGCTTCCAGAGACGCTGATGAGACCTTATTCGCATGTCGCATTCTAACTTCAGAAGGCGACGAATAGTTACTTCATCTTCGAAAAGGACATGTGAAAATTGTAGCTTAAAAGATTTTAAAGGACTTAATAGTTCATTATATATAGCTATACAAATATACATATATAAATAAATAAATAAATTTATTTATTTATTTATTTATTTATTTAACTTGTATATATAATCATATAATCTAAGGTAATATATTATTAGCTCTACTTCGTTTAGGACTGGCTCAATTTATAAATGGTGCTTGCTGCCAATAGGCATAATTAAACATATGAAAAGAAGCTGGGTTTTAAAGAATCCCTTAATCTTTTTCGCATATAAGTGGAGTTTCGAGACTACCTGTACATCAATTATATGAGATGTATTCACCCTATTTCGTTTAAGGTGGTGAAAGACTGATGGTACAATTTGTCCACAATGACATGCGTTGAGCTGACACAACAAGGCTATGTGAAATTGAATGGAAACATCAGCTCTACTCATATGATTGTGGAAAAATTCTTCTTCTACCAGTCCTTCATCACCTCAAACCAAATTGGGTGATTACATCTCATAATACTGATTTAGTGGTAGGCTCGAAACTATACTTATATACGGAAATTAGGTAATATAGTCAATGGTTTGCTTTATCGAAAATCCCTCTAAAGAATGTGATATGGGAAAAGGTCTGGCCTTTTTTGAAGTTCAAATCGGCCCTCCATCTCCCAGGGGCACTGGTGACAGTGGTGCCGAGTGGTTAACGTGTCGAGCTCACATGCTGCCCTGCCACGGTTCGAATCCCGCCGGGGGTGTTGAT